TACCATTCAGTGCTTTAGTTATACAGTATAATATTTTGTTGTACAGTATATTTTATTTCTTTTGTTATACAGTTCAATGAGTTTTAATACATGTGTATATTTGTATTATCACTCCCACAATCCTAATTCAGTTTTACCACCCCAAATTCCCCTATGTGTTCTACCCCTTCAGAGTCACAATCTTCCTATAACTATTACCTGTATCAATCATAATTGGTTGAGCAGCTTTTTAAAAATACTAATGTCGAGCTCTGCTTTCAGAGCTTCTGATTTAATCAGACTGGGATGGGGTCTGGGGGTCTTTTTTTAAAGTGTAACATACCGCCAGGGTTGAGAAACTGGTGCTCTCATCAAAGTCTGCATTCCGAAGGCTGCTACCACAAATCCTTCCACTGTCTTTATCCAAATCAGCATTAAGTATTTCATTGGCCAGCATTATGGATATTACAGACTTCTTTTCATTAGGGAAATAGTGTTCAAAATATGTGACTGAGTTGTAGGAAGTATGGTACAGGCACTTTTACCCTCTCAGAAAGAGGTATGAGAATCTGATAAGTCCAACACCCATTTCAGAAGAACGTAAGCCTCTTAAGGGAAGGCTTGAGTACAGGATGTAACTAGAGGTTTAACAGAATTCTGTTCCTGAAATATTATAGGATTTGTCCTGAGCAAATCCTTCATGCTTCATGCCTGTCTAGAATGCCTAAAAAGATTGGGAACTATAATTTCATTGGGACTTCAGAAAAGTATAGATGTCTGTTTCAACTTGCCTGTAAATATTTGCTTTGTAGATTTGTTCTGAGACTTGCTTTCATTGTAATTTGCCATCTGGTAGAGAAATGTTGAGGTGGGAAGGTTACTTTTTCCAACTTCTAACTTACAAAGCAGTAGTTCTCAATCTTGGCTGCACATTAAAATCACCTAGGGAAATTTAAAAATCCTGATGATCAGACTGCAATGCAGAGCAATTAATTCAGAGTCTCTGGAAATGGGATGCAGTCATCGTTATTTTCAAACTCTCCAGGTTTGTAGCCAAGGTTGAAAGGTTACTAGTATCTGCCAAATATTATCTAATAATTTTGAACATACAAATTGGCTTAAATTTATTCAGCTCATTAAGCTGAATTCCAGCTTGCCTCACCAACACATCTAAACCTGTCTTCCAGGAGAGCAGCTGGCTAGCTGCCCAGTAACACCATGCAGCTGTAGATCGTCTTTACCACTGACCTCTCCCTTTTTGAGTCGTAAACTCTGCCTAGAAGATGTATTAGTTATCTAGCGTTGTATAACCAATTACTCCCAAACCTAAAAGAATAAACATTTATTTTCACTCAGTTCATGTGGGCCAGAAGTCTAAGATAACGTACCTGGATGGTTCTGTCTCAGGGTTTCTAAAGAGGGTGCAGTCATGTTGCAGTCATCTGAAGGCCTGACCCGGGTTGGAAGATCTGCTCCACACTCACTCGTGGCTGTTGGCAGGAGGCCTCAGTTCCTCACAGGCTGTTGACCAAAGGCCTCAATTACTTGAAGCATGAATGAGGGTCACATTACAAGGCTGTTTAAATAGCCTTATAACATGGTAACTGGCTTCCTTCAGAGTCAGTGATCCAAGAAAGATAACATGGAGGAACGAAATTAACTTTTATGACTTAATCTCTGAGTCACACATTGTCACTTTCCTTCAATTTTATTTGTTTGAAGCCAGAAACTAAATCTAGCCTACACTCAAAAGAAAGGGAACTAGGCTCTCTCTAACTCTTGAAGGGAAGACTATCAAAGATTTTGTGAACAAATTTTAAAACCATTACAGAAGATAATTGACCAGGTTAAAGGAATATAAAATGTATTTTGACAGTCTTTATGAAATAGAGTCTAATTCTACTAGGGTATATAAACTTAACAGGAATTAGATACCCACAGAACTCAAAACACTCACAGCTGAGATCACAAATTTGAATTTACTGAATTAACACACAGCTATTGTAGTTGGTATCCATACTTTAAATCTTGAAAGAAGAGAGGATACATCAGTTCAAAAGATGTCATCTCATCTTGTACAAGCCCATGTTCCAGTAAACCAGTTGTTTAAAAGATATGTACTTTATGGAACAGGCTATGTATGTGTTAATAACAGAGAAACAGAAATGACACTTAATTTCAAGCTCCACTAGTAACATACAGGGAATGGGGAGAACAAGGTCGGCCAAGATGGTAAAGGATGAAAGAATTTCATTTCCAATTACTTAAAATAGTGTACAAATGTAGCAACTAAGATAATGTTGAGTGCTTGCCAATTTAAAATAGAAGGGATTGTAACAAAGAACCAGAAAGCTTTAACAGTTGATCTTAAAAATCTTCTATTTTCTATAGAAATAGTTGTTTTTTTAAATAATATGTGGATCATATAGACCATAACAAATATTTCGACCATGTAGGCCAGGTGTTTACAGTCTGGAGGCCAAATCTGACCTATTTTCTGTTTATGTAAATAAAGTTTTATTGGAACACAGCCACGCTCATTCCTGTGTGTATTGTTTCTGATTGCTTTCACGGTACAAAGGCAGAACTGAGTAATTTCAAAAAAGGCTTTATGGACTGAAAACACTAAGAGATTTACTGTCTGCCTTTTACAGAAAAAGTTTGCCAATTTTTGATGTAGTTGAAAGAATGGGGATACAAGAGTACTCATAACTTTATAACGATAATCCTTAAGCTTTTGTCACAGATCCTCTGGGCCTCAAAGACAGATCCAAAAAGAAAAGAGATTGTTTTATTTTTAAAAAACCATGTCATTATTTGTTAAAACTTACTACATTTGGGCAAAAGGACTAAAAGTTAATCAAAACACTAATATTGGTCTGCTTCGAAAGATATATAATGCTGATGTAAGTTAGTTTTCTTTAGATTGGTCAGTTTAAGATCCTCAAACTAGTTAATATATAAAGAAGAGGGAGATTCATCAGCAAATAAAATCAAAGGAAGGCAGAACAAGGGAATTTGAACACTATTTACTTTCTTTGTGCCTTTCTCTGACTCTCCTTTTCCTACCTTTTCCCACCTCCTCCTTACCTCCATTCCTGTTTCTTTTTTCTGTGTTGGCATCATTCTTTCCTGCTGCAACTTGCTTTTCTCCATGTGATAAGGACTATGACTCCTGCAGTCTCCTGTTGTATGTGCTTGATGCTGTCACCATAGCAGCTAGAGAGCATTTCTTTTATTCAGCCTCAGTGTAGAAATCTCAGACTGAGAGATTGAAGGGCTACTTTGGGACATGCTTGCTTTCCTCCATCAATCAGTATGGCCTAGAAGATAGCATAGGAAAGATTGATCCAGTCCAGGTTTTGGCCCACTCCTGTGCTTATAGGACCTGCTATAAATGAGGGGCAGAGTCGTGATAGTGTGGAGACAAAAGGCCAACCCGTGGACAAGCACATATCCTATTCAACCATAATAACTGGCCCTCCCACAACAGTCACAAGACCCAAGGAACATGTCTCAGAATATAGCATCTATTCCTCAGCTTAGGCAGGCCTCTTTGCAATCATAATTAATTATTAAATATATTCTAAAAAATCTCTCTAGCTTTCACAGCTTCATTCACCTGTTTCTCAAGCACAGTAAGTCTTTTGCTTCTTGATGCTTCAAAGAAGACAGACATACAATGTTATTTCTTCCTTTGACTATCGCTTTCTTAGATCAAGTAAGTCCAATTCCTTTTTTTTTTTTCCAGAGCCCATAGCTGAGACTTCATTCATCTTTCAACCCTTTTAGTACTTGTTATTGCAGAATTTAATATACACCTTCTTAATATATGATAGTCAGAATGTTATGGTGGACAATGATCCAACCAATTCTTGATATTTTTTTAAATTAACAGTGGAATCAGATTGAGCCAGGAAGAATTCCTAGCTCTGCCATTTATTAATATTTGTCATATGGTCTTGAACTAATCAAAACTTCCTTTTTACAGATGAGGATGCTATCACTTTAAAAAGTATTTATTGAAAATCTACTATATGCCAGTGCTTGGGATACAATAATGACAAGAGAAATATGGTCTCTACTCTCTGAACATATGTGTCAAGGAGACTATAGACAAACGTATAGATGCTCCCACACACTGTGATATGATATGGATAACATGGGTGGTATAGAACAGAAGGGTATGCCTCCCAGACTTAGGAGTCAGAGGAGTGGGAGATAGACTCTTCCCAGAGAAATTGGTGTCTAAGGTGAATGAGACACAAAGCAACCAGTCAAAGGAGAGGAGAGCAAATAAGGGTTGAACAATGTTTCTGGGGAGAATAGATGGCAAATATACCATGATATAACAGCATGATGATTTAAAGGAATTGAATGTAATTCAGGTATTAGTTAAAAATCTTCAGGTGGCAAGTGACGGAAATGCAAGTAGGTCAAATGAAAAAGTAGATTAGATCATTAGCCTATAGAGAGACTTGGCAGGCATCAAAAATGGCAAGATGTAAGAACTGGAAAAAAAAAAATGCCAGAACTCTCTCTTTATCTCTGCCTCTGACTTTTGCACATCTTTATAGGTTAAATTTGTTCTCTACTTTTATAGACTATTTTTTTCCACACAGCAAAGTAAATGCACACCAGAATCCCTGAATTCATGACACAGTAGTTTCGCCATTGGGAGAGAAACGAGAGGTGCTATTTTCTATTTGCCATAGCCTGCAAAAATGCCGTGATTGCGCAGAGTATGAGATTTTACCCACCTTACAGCTCCCATGTTTACCTGCTACAGTTTCATGGATGTTGGCGGAAGGAACTACACTGCTGGGTCAGAGACAAAGGACTCCATTTCTCATGAGCCAGCAGCAGTCATGAGCTTCATGTCCACGTCAGTTCCCCTTAGTCTCCAAGTGTCACACGGTCAGTGTGGAGCAGCCCAAGTGGGTGTTGTGCACACCCTGGGCTTCTGTCATAGCTGAGGATCTGAATATTAGAAGGTCATAAACTAGTAAGAAACCACATAGTTTAAAAGGTCTGCCACTTTGTTTTAGCTTTATTGACTATTACCAACTTTCAGTATGGTTCAAACAATTAAATACTGCAACTGGGACATTAAAAATACAAGCTAATTTACCAAAATAATTGTATTCTGAATATTATGTACAATATTATACATTTTACATTACATAATGGATTTTTATACATAAAGATAAGATTTCTGATTATTGGAAATCCAAAGTACATTTGAACAAAATATTCCTATGCATACATACACAATCACTCAACTGGAACAACCAAAACCTTCTATGAGTGTGGTTATTAAAAAATAAAATTACCTTCATATAATGATAGAAAATGAAATTTGTTTTTATTGAGTATGAATACAAAACCATACACATATGACTTATATAACCTAGTGCTGTATATTTAAAAATCTTTACGCTTGCAACTGAAATGTCTCTATTCCAAGGGAAGTTTCTGATTTTTAATTTTATTTTAAGGAATCTATTATATTTGCAACCATTAAAATGCCTTACACACAGGCAAAAAGCAGACCCAAAAAGCAGATCCAGCAAACAAAAAAATCATGAGGGTCTATCATATCACCATGTATGTTTCACTGTATAGTTTCGAAAAATTATCCTATTTGCAGTTTGGTATATCTTCATAATCATACTTATTATCAAAGTGATTGCATATTGAGGCACAGAGCTTAAAGAGGAAATATCTATTACTTGTAGGGAACTAGACACTGAAACAATGATCAATCAGTGGCTTCAGAAAAAAGAAAACATTGAGAATGGGTGCTCACTTAGAAAACATCACACATAAACACTCATTTGTTTTTAAACAAGTCATTAGTCCTTCAAAAAGGTTAATGTGTTGATGTGTCCATACCTTGTTTGAACACCGCAATATCTGATTAAGACCAGAATACTGCCACAGGAGTTTTAATACTCTTCATTTTAAAATTCAATTCCTCTTTAGCAGAACAGCTATGATTTTAAAGCAATGACAAACATTTTTTAAATCGATCTAAAAAGTCTGAAAAACGATGTCTTTACAACAAAAATGGGTTTCCTATTGTATGTCGCTCTGTACATAGGTCTCAATCCAGAGATACACCGACTGGTGAAAATTCCATCAGAACTATACATAAAGACATCACAAGGGCAGCAATTAGTAAACTGGTCATTTTCTTTAAAGTTTGTATGGCATTTTGCAGTACTCCCTGTTCTAAGTACTCCCTGTTCTTAAATCCTGTATTTTATGAAAGGCAAACAAGGGACACCTGAAAACTAGAAGCCAGACGGGTAACACGCTGAAACATATACAAAATCAATGACCTTTCTGACTTCATGTAATCTGTTAAAAAAAATTCGGACTCAGGGTCTCAGGTTTACTTTACTTTTTTTCTTCTTTTTCATGTCTAGCTTGAATATAAAAGAAGCTCTAGACCTACATTATCAAAATATATTCATATAAATGTATGAGCATTTCTAATACAAAAGTTTTAAAAAAGTCTAAGTTCTTAATTTTTGTAATTAAATATCCTAGAGTTCAGTAGGCAGATTTATGTTTGAGCAGCTTGAAAAGAATCCGTTGGCTGAGTATTGTCTAGAAATTGGGCACAGCTACATTTCGGCTCTTCCAGGCGATTTCTCGGCAACCGCAGCCCCGTCTTCTTCCTCCTCTTCCTCCTCCTCATAGTGTTCCTCTCGGCCCTTGGGGTGGTTGTCGTCTCGAACTTCTTGCTCTTCTCCATCATTGTTTTTATCTTCGGCCTTAAAATTAAAAAAAAAAAGAAAGAAAAACTAAGAGATATAGAGCTAGTGATAAATAATTCCCTCTAAAAACAGGATGAAAACTTATTCATTTTTAGAGGAAAAAAAAGGAAGAAAAATGATATATAAGCAACAGTGCCGCTGTCTCTCCTACTTTTCATGTTGTCACAACTTTTCCTAATTTCAGGTGGGCCTGTTAAATTCAGCGGTAACTCAGAGGTACCATTAGCCACTGGTACCTATCCCAAATCTATGTAGCTCCCCTATACACATGCACACTCGCAAATACCCAAGTGCTCAACAGAAACATGTATCTCAGACATACATTTTCATCATTTTCACCATAGGTCTCTTCAGCATTATGCTGCAGTTCTCTTTTTTTCTCTTCAGTCAAATCTTCCTGAACCTAAAACAAACCACAGATATTATTTAAACACTTGCAATAATATATTTTCACACTTTTATCATTCAAACACTTGCAATAATATATGTTAAGGATTTATCTAACTGGTATGAAGAAATGTATAATATACCTATTATAAAAATCAATGTAATTGACTGTGAATGTAGGACTTTTGTGCTTGAATTTCTGACTTATTTGAATAATGGTTAAAATTCCAAATATAAAACACCTGAAGAAATTCAGCTTCTAAAATCAAAAATTCTGGCCAGGCGTGGTGACTCACAACTGTAATCCCAGCATTTTGGGGTACTGAGGCAAGAGGATCACTTGAGCCCATGAATTTGAGTCCTGGGAAACAAAGTGAGACCGTCTCTACAAAAAATTTTTATAAAATTAGCCGGGCACACTGTGCACGTATGTAGTCCCAGTTACTTGGGAGGCTGAAGCAGAGGATTGCTTGAACTCTGGAAGTCAAAGCTTCAGTAAGCCGGGTTTGTGCCACCGCACAACAGCTTCGGTGACACAACAAGACCCTGTCTCCCCCAAAATAAAATAATAAAATAAAAATTCCCATTTTTCCATATGTGAGAACTGTAGAAATTTGAAATCTATGACACAGTGTAAATTTTACGGAGGCAGGAACTGCCTCTTATTTAAGCCACTATCTAGATCAAGCTTGTCCAAACTGTAGCCTCTGTAAATCCTCTGTAAAGGCACAAAAATAGAAACCACTGCCTATATACAATGTAGATGAAATTTTATGTATCTATTCCATACTTAAGAATAAATTTCTGTGGCCAAAATATCTAGAAAATAGAATACAATCACTTCAATTTCTTTATGAAGTAGTCTATTAAACTGCCTCAAAAATTCCTCTTTAGTGTTCTAATACAACCTTTCTGTTTTCCTTTATGTGCACTATTATTACGGTTTAAATGATCCCAATATTTATCTCAAAATGTAAAGTAAAGCAAGCACTCAAATATTTGTGCCAAATAATCTCTATGTATTGGTCGTATCTCGCAGAAATATAGAGTAAGACTTTTTTTTTTTAACTTGTTAACTATTTTGAAAATCATACATAGGCCAAAATGTTTAAGTCACTTGAATACATTTCAAAAAAAAAAACCTGCTGAACATCAGTTCAGTATAATGTAGTCTCCTGATACCAAAGAAAGCCTGATCTCTTCTAGGAGCAGAGCATAAGTCCCCTTGAATAACACAAAAATCACACATTTTGGCGGGGGGAGTGGGGGAGACTGTTGAAAAACCTGAGAAATGAAAAAAGGAAGAAAAGTACACAGATACTATAATGCAAGAGAAACAAATTACGTGCTGTCTAAAGGTGTGCAGCCCAGGTGAGACAAGAATCAACTGTAGCCTCCCAGAAGAGCTTTGGACAAAACTTGGCCTGTCAATGGCCTACAGTGGTGACTTTTCAAAGACAGCCTGGGCTAGGCAAACATTTGTGAATCTCCTCTAACCAGTTCAATGCCAGTTTGATGTACAGCCCCTAAACTAATCTGGTACCAAATAAATACATTTTGAGGACAAAGGCATTGAGTATCTGTTGTATTCATATTTCCTGGTGGAATGAGCTAAAGACACCAATCTTGTCTCACTTTACCGTTCTATCAGTGGCCCATAACATCTCCTCTGCCCACAGTCATAGAACCTCTAGTAACATTCCGCAGGACACTGGGATGAAAACAATGAAGCACTTATTTCAGGCTATCTTAAGGTCTGCCTAATTGAAACATCATTAAATTGCTGAAGTGTCCCTGTTAATTTTGATTAACAAAGACATGTCTTCTACAGACTTAATAATGAAAATATATTATTTATAAACATTAAAATGTTATAGTTGATTGGAGGAAAAACAGCCTTGAGTTTATGCTGTGTGGTAAGAAGAATATCTAAATCAGGGATCAGCAATCTTTTTCTGTGAAGGGCCAGACAAGAAATATTTAGGCTTTCTTAGCCATTGGGTCTCTCTCACAACAATACAACTTGACCACTCTATGTAGTGCACACATACACACAAAAACAAACTACAGTCAATATGTAAACAAGGAGGCATGTTTGTGTCCCAATAAAACTTTACTTGGCCAGGCATGGTTGCTCATGCCTCTAATTCCAGCACTTTGGGAGACCACAGCGGGCGGATCACAGGGTCAGGAGATCAAGACTAACCTGGCCAACATGGTGAAACCCCTAGGGAATTAGTGATAAATAATTCCCTCTAAAAACAGGATGAAAAGTTATTCATTTTTACTAAAAATACAAAATTCAGCTAAAAGTTTTATACTAAAAATACGAAAAATGGCCTGGCATGGTGGCAGGCACCTGTAGTACCAGCTACTCAGGAGGCTGAGGCAGGAGAACTGCTTGAACCCGAAACACGGAAGTTGCGTGAGCTGAGATCGCATCACTGCACTTCAGTCTGGGTGACAGGGCAAGACTCCATCTCAGAACAACAACAATCAACACCACCACCACAATAGCAAAAACTTTACTTATGAAGTAGGCTGCAGCCTGTAGTTTGCCAACTCCTGTCATATACTATGGAGTCAGAAAGATCTGGACTAAAGCCTTGGCTCTGAAACTTTTCTGACTGTATAAATCAGAAGGTCAATTGTTTTGGTAATGAAAATCTTCAAGCACATGCAAACAAAGAAATCATTCAATAAACCCCTTGTAGCTACCACCAATGTTCAAAAGCTATCTCAATATTGCCACACCTGCATCATCCATCATTTTTCCATTTTTTAGTAAATTATTCTTAAAAATTCTAGATATCATGTAATTTCGCCTTCACATATCACAGTATATACATATATAAAAACAATAAACAACTTATATAATCATAATACGGTTATCACACCTGATAAAATAATTCCATAGTAGCATCTGATGTCTTGTCCATATTTACACTTTTATGATTGTCTTAATGTCTTTTTACAGCTGGTTAGTTCTAATCATGATTTTAAGGAAGAGCACACATAACATGGGATTCACTTCTCTCTTTTTTCCCTATGCTATGGATTTGCTGTCCTTTAAAATGACCCACATTCTGGATTTATTTGCTTCTTTATATAACTTAACTCCTTTCTCTAGTCCTGACATTTCCTATACATGTAATTTAGCATAAAAGTCTGAATAAACTCAGGTTCAATTTAAAAAACAAGGGTATTTTAGAGGTGATGGTGTATGTTTCATATTTTTTATCATATCAGGAGGCACATACAATTATTTGTCCCACTTTTAGTGAGGCTACGGTTGGTCATGAGCTCAGGCAGGGACAGCCTGATCCCTTCATGGTAAAGTTCCCTGACCTCTGTTCATCTAGTGACATCATCCACTGATGACTGTTGCTTAGATCAATTGCTTCAATTAAGGGTTACAAAAATTGGTTACTTTCTATTTCCATCATTCTGTCTATATTCACTAATTTCTTTTTTTTTTCCCATTTATTTATTTTATTGCATTTTAGGTTTTGGGGTACATGTGAAGAACATGCAAAATTGTTGCATAGGAACACACGTGGCAGTGTGATTTGCTGCCTTCCTCCCCATCACCTACATCTGGCATTTCTCCCCTTGCTATCTCTCCCCAGCTTCCCACCCCTGACCGTCCCTCCCCTATTTCCCCTCAACTGACCCCAGTGTGTAGTGTAATTTCTATAAAGAACTTCTCCATATCAACTATATAGCTACTGTGCAGGGTACACTTAATTATGGTAGCCTTTAAAATCAGACCTAGGTGGCTCTAATCATGTTTCTAACAATCAATAAAAGCTACGCAACCTTCAAATTTTTAACCCCTCTGAAGCCCAAATTTCTTATATGTGAAATAAAAGCATTGGGTAAAAATCAATGATCCTTAATTTCCTGTATGTATGTGTGGTTGGGGAGTCATGAACACTTTTAAGACTTTGGTTAGAAAGTCTTTAGCAAAGAGACACATGTACACAGATAGGAGTTACAGACTTCCCAGATGCCATCTACAGCTGTCTGCCCTAGGACTATTTCTCTAAACAGTAAAATACTGAGCTGTCTGAATCAGCGAGTGGTGGGTGGGTGAAGGGACACTTATGAAGGATGCTGATTCCTAGGTTCCATTACAGATAAGATCAAAATCTCAAGGGTAAGTGTCTGGTCCAGAAATCTGTATATGCCACAAACTCTTCAAAGTGATCCTTATTCTCCGCAAAGACAAAGAACTATTTCCTTGAATAACAATGGATGCTGGGTTATATCACTAGTCTTTGGAGATGTGCTATAGAAAATTTAGGTTGTTTACCAGTTGTCAATTTAATCTCATTTAGGTACCACTGATTTGAACTACTCTTTTGGGAACCCACAAATGAAAATTTTCTAATTTTCCAGACATACAGAGAACAGACTCTTAGTTAGATACACATTATTATTCTAGTAATATATTATTGATGTTTGGGACAAAAGCAATGCAAACTCATCTTAAAGGCTGTAATGCTGGCCAGGTGCAGTGGTACATGCCTGTAATCCCAGCACTTTGGGAGGTCGAGGCAGGTGGATCACCTGAGATCAGGAATTCAAAACCAGCCTTACCAACATGGAAAAACCCCATCTCTACTAAAAATACAAAAATTAGCCAGGCATGGTGGCGCATGCCTGTAATCCCAGCTACTCAGGAGGCTGACGTAGGAGAATCACTTGAACCTGGGAAGCAGAGGTTGTAGTGATCGGACATCACACTTTTGCACTCCAGCCTGGGCAACAAGGGTAAAACTCTGTCTCAAAAAAAAAAAAAAAAAAAACAAAATAGTAATGTCTTTAATGCTCTTTGGTAATGAAACAGAACAAAATGATATAGAGGTTCCAACTGATCTTAAAATATGCTGAGAATAAATAACAACCAGAAGCCAATTGTTATTCTTTTATAATGTAGACATACAGATTATGTCTTCCACAACTGGCCCTCTTATCATCCTGCTAAAGCTGTCACAGTGCTTTGTCAGATTTCCCAAACACTGCTCTTGTTACTCATTTTTATCTACTGAAATACAATGTTTTAGGCATTTTAGAAAAGAGCCTTATCTGATGTCACAAAGTTTAATAAATGGCCAAATCCAAAATAAAACAGATCCACTGAGTCTTAAAATAGGCTTTGACTGGATATCCTCTCTTGGTGTCTATTAATACCTTTCTTTTACACATTGAAGATGTTATGGGGTGAGCCAGGTCAGAAAGCTGAGCCTTAAGTAGGTAAGAACAGCAGGATCCAAAACAGTAGATAGAAGGTTATGAACAAAAGGCCTTCAGCAACATTAGCTATGGTGATGAACACCCTGTTTTTAACAAGAGGGTTTCTTCCAACTGAAAAGGTTCTTGGTCAAGCATGTGGCTCATGCCTGTAATCCTAGCACTTTGGAAGGCCAAGGTGAAAGGACCACCTGAGGTCAGGAGTTCAAGACCAGCCAGGCCAACATGGCAAAACCTCTCTCTACTAAAAATACAGAAATTATCTGGGTGTGGTGGTGGACACCTGTAATCCCAGCTACGTAAGGAGGCTGAGGCGGGAGAATTGCTTGACCCTAGGAGGCAGAGGTTGCAGTGAGCCGAGATTGCGTCATTGCACTCCAGCCTGGGCGACAGTGAAGACTCTGTTTCAAAAAACAAAAAACAACAACAAAAAAAGAAAAGCTTCTTGACATGGTGTTCACAGGCTGGCAGTCTCGTGCAGGTGGATGTATATATTTGGCCAGTGAAGGTGAACAAAAACCTTGTACTTATTCTCTTAATGTTCAGATTAATCTGTTTTCAGAGACATTGAGGGAAGTTAAGGTATTCTGATTTTTCGGTCATTTAATCTATACATGGTTGAACATGTAAATAATTTTAAAGTGTACATAGCACTTTTCAGCAATGCCATAATTGTCTTGTTTGCTTACAAGTTGATAAAACATTTGGAATGTAAGCAACATGAGGAAGGGATCATGATCTGAGGAAGGGATCATGCCTTCCACTCAAACAATCCCAAATGAGAAACAAGGAATGCTTGTAAATAATAACAATTTTTATGTCTTAGAAAGATAACACTTACTGCACTAAGATAAAAGAAGGCAGGGTAGTATAAATTTCCTAAAATTACACTTCTTTTGGGTCCTCTACTCTTAGAGGCCAAGTCTACAAATCTGACAGGCTATACCTCTGAACAGGTGCAGCCCTGGCAAGATGCAATTCTTCCCCAGGAGAAAATGCTGACAGAAATAAGTTTGTGCACTGGAGAGGAAGGGAAGCGATGGTAGCCACAGGCCTTGCATTCTAGTGGTTAGCTGGGGCAGCTGCAAAACTCTACGGTTTAATGGAGATATGAAAACAAACAAACAAAAACAGTGCACAGTTCCATAGCATTTCATGGTTTTCAGAGTGCTTCCTTCCACCAATGAGGTTTCATCCATATATGCACTTATAAACAATATGTGTTTCCGTATACTATGCTCCCCTTTATTTTTCTCATTTTGCCAGAGTCTGACAAGAACTTTGTCTCTATCACCAGTGCTTAAATGGTATTTGGGAACCACTCTTTTCCTCTCTCAAGGGAAGACCTGGGAATAATGGATAGAGGTGGCAAGATGCAAACAATCATCTCAGAAACAATCACAAAAATACAACACAGCATGAACAGGGCTGGGAGGCAGAGAGGAAAGTTACACTGGGAAGAAAAAAAGGCGCACACAACTTCCACTAGGAGTGCAAGGAGCAACAGCTCTCAGTGACGGGCTGGCAACCTGGAGCACGTGCAGGAGGGGATCTGGACACTGTTATAAGAATTTTTGGCAGGAACCAGGTAAACATAATTAGGACCTGGGGCCAGGTGCAGCAAGAGGAAAAGAGTCCTGTGAGTCCAGCAGATCCGAAGGGGGATGAGTGATGGGGTGAGGGGCAGTTGCTGAGTTTAGGCAGCACTCAGCCCGGGCAACCTCCTCTGTCTCAGCACCATTTCTCCTTCCCTCTTGCTTCTGTCTGTCTTATCTTTCTACTCTTGATTCCTCTTGGATCACAGGATTTCCCTCCTCTACCTTAACTGATCATAATATAAAAGTGAAAAGGAATCAGTAAATACTGATTAAAATTTTATGTTTAATGTTCTGAATTTTTAAAAAGAAGCCAAGGTGAACCTTTTCTCTTTTAATCCCTCAAAGATTCCTCTTATCGAACATAATAAAACAAAATGATATTAGTCTAGACATCTTGTTACATGAGAAGTCCAGATGCATATCTTTTTCTTGCCAAATGTCTTAATATTCAAGGTCCCTATTTTCTCTACTGCTCTTTCTGACAAGACAGCCAAGGAAGGGTCTTGATTAGGATGAGAAACCAGAGAACAAACAGATCAAGTCAGTTAAAATGCATGTTACTAGACAGGTTGCCAGCGACCTTAAAGAGCAGCACCCTTTTTTGTTTTCCTGGTATAAGCACAAATTTTATCATTAGCTCTGAAAATCTGAGAAAATCAGTAAGAACAAGAAGGCAGACCTAGTGGAGGGACCTGTATGTGTGAGAGCACAGTGCATGATTTCTACACAGTGTCTCTAGTGGTGGGGTTGTGTTTAGTCAGCTGTATGTCCATCCTCCCATGGGGTTCCCTTTAGGGATAAAGCCACACATTTCCAAGACACCTGGCTGAGAAGTGGCTCTGACCCAGGGTTTTAATTTGGTAACTACTTACTGGTCCATAAGGAGACTAAATATAGGGTCTTGGCCTAATTCCTATCAGACTCGTAAATATTGCAGTTGTCTATACAGCAGAATACTGTGATAAAATGGCTACAAGAAACAGCATTCACCAATCAGTTACAGGAATGTAGCATCACAATAAATGCTACTTCTACCTAATTAACAACTAGATGCCAGAAATTTACAATGAAAAGCGAACTAAAATAAAATATTAAGAAACTTTATCCAAATGCATTTTACTCAACTGAGCTCTTTACATGTTTTTTCTTTTCTTTATTGTTAATTAAGATACTGAATTCTTATGAGGGAAGAGGCCAGAAGAAGAGACTGTAAAATTTACAAAAATGTTTGGAGGTTGTTAAGTTGATTCCAACAGATGCTACAGGGTATTCTGTGATGTAGGCACTGGGGAGATGGCTGCGGAAAAAGCTGCAGGGGCTGGTCCGGATTCCCTCAATGTGCAGAGGGAGACAGGAGAAAATGTTCTTACAAAAGATCATACCAATCTAAGTCCACCATTCCTGGAAAGCCAAATGCCCTCTTAATTCAAAATTCAGGTGAGAACCAAAGAGATGGATTCTATTATCCTGCCTTTATTATCTCCTAACCAAATGTCTCCAGTGCCATAATCCATTTTTGCTTAAACCACACTTTCTCAACCTGCTTAAGTCTTTCTGAACATTTCTATGGAAGGCATGTCAAAGCCAATACTGCTGAGGTTTGTTTAAGGTTAGTGTATGTGATAGACCAATCTGATCAGTCTTGGGGATTCAATTCTTACTACCTCCTCTTCTGCCTCTTCCTGGTACTGTTCATCAACATTATCCTCCTGCTGGTCTGGATTTCCTGCCATCTGTTGAAACAAAAGAGGAGGTTCATGTTACTGTACATCAGAGATGCCTTTTACACAGTACTCTGGGACAAAGAACAAGGATGCCACCATGAAAAGGGTAGTTTCAAAGCATCTGTGGCCAGGAAATGATGAATAATCATTTCTAATACAAAGCCCAGGATGTCCATTACATCCTCAGATGTACAGCATATCATTTCATATGCCATATGAATATTTCTCTCAGAGCAGAGACATATCGTTTCATAAAGTGTCCTAAAAAACACCAAACTGGCAAATCTTCCATCAATGTAGATTATGACTAACCTTTTACATAAACCAGATGTTTGTCAAAATACCCCAGTTAAATCCACCCTTCCTCGTGGCATCTGCTTACCACCAAATGTTCCTCTACTTCTGTATTTTCCTGCTTTTGATTACTTTGTTTTTGTTCTTCATTTTCATCTGGCAAATTTTCTTCTCTCACTTGCTCAGCTTCTTCAAATTCATCCTCACCTTGATTATTAGGGTCATCTGCTGGGTTTACATCCTCTACAGCTGCCCTCTGTAAAATTTTAAAAAGTAATTACACTTTAAAGCTGAGGATCAAGTTTAATTTCATTTGAAAGGCTACACGCTGGTAGAAAAGGAAATCATCCTTCACCAAATTGTTCAGATCTATCCTTGCCAAGACTTACAAGAATCAAGCATTGCACTGTCAAAAGGGAAAACTCCTGCTTTACTTGTCAGAGGCTGATGAATCACAGTGAGGTACAAATAGCACTTCTTTTCTGCAAGTGATTTCAAAATAGTTCTCAAAACTCTACTGACACAAGTAATGTAAACAGAACTGAATAAACAAGAAAATAATTAATAAAAGAGGACCAAGTGAGAAAAAAAATACTAATTTAGGTGGGCGGTTTAGATGGGCAATTAACTCTTTTCGCTGCTATGTTGATTTTTATACAAGTTTCCCTGTGCAAGCAACTTTTAACATGTCAGCAGGTGAAAAGCAATTGATGGGGAAAAAGGCCCATACCAGAAACGACCCATAAAGAGGATGGGAAAGGAGACAAGACAAGAAAAAGGCTAACTCAAAAGAAAATGGTCAATTTCTAGTATGGATCAAATTTCTTAATTAAAAAACACTTCCATGAAACAGAGATGTTGACCTGGCAAGAGATGGGAGTTAAAAAGGACTGAGCTACTCAACTGCCCAATAGGGCAATATATTATGAAAAATGTCATCCCCAAATCATCTCCCAAGTTACTGTGCTCAACAAAGGTCCTTCATATTATCAACTTTAGAATTATTTCAATTTTCCACTTAAGCTCCCAAAGCACCTTCCAAATAATAAACATCCTAATAAAGATTTAGATTTTAGAGCCCGAGACGGGCAGGAACAGTGACGCTTGTCATGAGCTTCCCCAGTCACTCCCAGGTCATCAATAGGACACTTACTAAAGTTGTAAATGCTTCTAAGAGACAGGAAAGCCACAGGGTAGGATTTGGTCTCTATCAGTATTCTCCAGAAAAGATTCTACTTCAATTCACTTAAGAGTTCTGAACATGTTTGAGAGTTCACTGCAGTCTCAGCTGATCTGTTATCTGCACATCCTTGGCCATAAACGTTATTGAAGTGCAAATGACATTATTCTTGGGAATATAGAGACTAATGAATTACCACCTTCACACTCAACTCTAATTCCTCCACAATCTCTTGTCATATGGATTTTCTTTGGTGCACTATCAATAATTTGTATGGAAATATAGGAAAAATGTAACATATTCTTTTCAGAAGAAAGTACCAAATATCTTTTGCAAAAGTTCATGAAAATGACTAGCTCACCTCTGACCAAGTAACAAGTACGAATTAGCAGGCACAGTTGTTATGTTCAAGTAAAACAGAGAGAAAAAGAAAGGAACAAGTGGGATTCATAGTTTCTAATTAAAAAGAAGAATGGTACAAAGGCCAGTGTTTCCCAGCATGTTCCCCAGAACAAATAAACAGAGGATAGGAAAGTAAAGGATCATATAGTCAAGTAATCAACGCCTACAGCAGTTCCCAAACAAGTGACCGGAATACTCTCCCTTCCTCCCACCCCGTGCACATTTGCAGGCCTCTGTACACTTGCTTTCTTGTTCTCTTATGGACAGACTCTTGCACTCTCATATGTTTCTGTTCTCAAGTATTTGCTCTTTCCTGAAAATGTTTCAGGACTAGGTTCCCTGAAGCATATTTTCAGAAATCCTGAGGGAAAGGTGTTCTGCACATCTCAGTGCAAGCTAAGTGGAAAAGCTGTTTCCATCAAGACGGCTGTAAGCAGCTAGCAGAAAGACTCTTGAAGATTATCAAGGATATGTGTCCTTCTTTTAATCATCCACTGAATCAATATAAACCGGGCCCATGTGATAGAACAGACTGTTATAAACGTGATAGTTTATTTACTGGCAAAGATGACAGGATAGCTAAAATAAGTTGTAAAAGTCATCTACACGTACAGGAACAGGCTCACTAAGCATATGCTTGCCTCACTTGTAGGCAGGACCAAGGCTCTAGCCCATCCAGCTGAATTGGAGATCTCTGTATTTTTCGGTAAACACAAATAACAATGCTGGTAATTAGATGTCTATCTATTTATATTCTAAATTTTCTGTACCATTGCAGTACCTGAACAACTCTTCATGTCTCAAATCACACATCCTTATCCATATATTTATTAAAATGGTCACTAGACTGCTGAGAGATTACAGAGTCACACAACATACCTAACACCCTAGAAGACTGCTTAATATGCTCAGGAAAGGTCAGTTTCCTTTCTCTGGTGCCATCTCCAACTTCTACACTTGCCTTTTATTCCTCCATCTTTCAGAGTTAATATGTATTTCAATCTCTTTCAATTTTGCTTTTCTAGGTTTTAGTTTTATTAATTTAAAAGTCATCAGAAAAAAAAAAATCCTGTTTTTTTTTTTCCCCAGAGCAACCATTAAACCAGCTCATCACATACACATACACCATGGTTTACAGTTAAAAACACTGCCCATATATAATTATGCAAGCCACTTTCCTTCTGTGCTGAGGATATAACAGAAATAGATGGGGCTAGAGGCTGGCATCAGGCAAATTTTCAACTCTCTTTCCCACCTTATAAATTTACCACGTGTCAGGGGCAGAAGAGAAGATACTTACATCTGCCTCAGATTCTGGGTTAGCTTCTTGGGGTCCTTGTTCATGAGGTTCATGTCTATTACCTGGGTTTCCTTCTGCTTCATCTTGGTGCTGGTTGTCTCTTTCATAGGCTAGCAAATCAAAGGAACTAAAATCAGCACAAAATGAATCAAATAGGATTCTTCCATTTCAACCCAATGAAAAGCCAGCAGTGGACTTTCTTATAGACTGTATAACCTCCACCTCAGTTAACTCAACATAAGGCCTATGTCTTGGCTTTTCTGAATACAGTTATGTTCTTTACATAGACTGTGTGTCTAAAGAGCTGATATGGGTTAGACATTTTTCTTCTAAAATAAATATTTATAACAGGGGCTATAATTTTTCCCACATATGCAAGAAAACCACAACAATCAAAACTTTCTCAATAAAAGAAAGCCCAGTTGATTGGACACTGCCGAAGAAATCAACTAATGTTTGATAATATCAGAGGAAATAGCTAGGCTCCAAAAGAAGAAATTGATAGTTTCAGGAAATGCAACGAAGAACAACCCCATCTGTGGAGCTCAAAAACAAATATAGCCCATCACATGTTTTCTGACACAGTATGAGGAAGACTGCCACAGCACAGAAACAGCACACATTTATACTCATTTACTTGCTGCTTTTTGAAAAAATATTTAAAGAGAATTGTATGAGCACAAAAAGAGAAGAACAAATCACTTTAAAAAATAATAATATAAAAGAGGAAAGTTTAAGTATATGGAGAGTATAAGCCTAGAGAAAATAATGACACAGAGTAACTTACCAACAGACTTCAAGTGCACAAAGGGTTTACTACACAGAGAAGAGAACAAACCGTCCTCTAGTCTTACTAATATTAGAACAAAAAAGCTTAAAGTGCCACATGGAGGACATAAGGAAAACAATTTCTTGACTGTAAGAGCTGTACAATATCACAACAGGCTATTGAGGGAGATTATATGTAATCATTTTCTCTTTTTAGGAAAGGATACACATCTAAGTGTTAGTGGTGCCAGAGAGACAGTTACATTCTGATTCTATTATAACAGTAAGCAATATTTGATAAATTACATACTAAGTGCTTACCATAAATGAAAGCTACTATTGACTTAGTTTGAAAACATTTTAAGGTAATGATGTAAGGACTTCCAAGGCAAGGAGAAAATGTAGATGTTTCCCAAAGCATAATAATCCTATAATAATCCGTCAGAAATATTATAATTAGTAAATAAAAAGCTTAAACTACAGGAAAAATGATAGGGAAGAAAGAGATTACCTTGAGCAATTTTCACTGCCAGTGTGCACTGTTTAGGATGATTAACAAAAAGACACGATTCACAAATCTCCTTTGCACTTACTCAGGTATGCCTATAGCTCATTGATATTATATAATATTGGCTCACTGATAATATACAATGTTATCAAGTAATTAATTAAAACATTCATCATCTAAGAAGTCTCACCACCTCCTTCCTCTTCTTGGATTCCCTGGTCCTCTGCTCCCTGAACAATATCATTATCCATAGCATCATAACGAGCTTGCTGCCTACGAGAGACACAAAGAAGATAAATGCAGTGAGAAAAATTCAGTGGCACAGGCTGACATAGGTCATTTATCTTTAAAGATAGTAATAAGCAATATTTCTCATCATTTTTAAGAAGCCATAAAAACTTTTTAAAACCCTCTTATGTATGCAATTAGGTATAATAAAAATTCCAGATACACTGTCAAAAGACACCTTAAAAAGATAAAAATATCTTTTAATGATAAAATTAAGCTGGCACAAAGGTGCAAAGCTATTTGGAGACCTAACCTATCGCTTTTAAGTAGAAAAAAAATATTATTTTTAAAACTAAATATTTGGCATTTAATTCTCAAGTAGCTGTTCTGCCTTGGCTATTTGAGCAATACGAGCCCCTTAATTTCAGAATCCCAAATGCACAAAACTGTTTTTAATTTGTATATGAAAACTGGAGCAGGGGCTGTCTACATTCATTGAAGAAGGGGAAGGCTACCGGAGCTGCTGCTGCTGGTGCTGCTGCTGGCCCTCCTCATGCTCAGCCTGCCTCTGCAGGGCCATCTCTCTTGCCAGCTGCTGCTGCTGCTGTTGCCGCTGCCGTAACAGGTGCCCTTGCAGCCTCTGCTGGTGCAAAGCTTCCTGGTGTTCCCGCAGCCGCTGGGCCTCCTCCGCCTGCTGCACTGCCAGTCTCTGCTGTTCTAACTGCTCCTCATAGGGTGATTGGAATTTGATAACTGGCTTGGCTGAAGGGTACACCTGGGGAGAAAGAGAGTTGGTGCAGAGCAAGAGGGGTTAGTTGCTCTAGTTTTTCTCTTCATTTGATTCCCTGACAAACTCGGGAGGCACGGCTGGTTTATTAACACCTATTTGTCAGGTGAACTGTGATTATACGTAAAGTCCCAAAACTCCTATTTCCCAACTTTCTCTGAATCATCCTTGGCTTCTTTAGCAGCTGATATTTCCAACTGCTGGTATTAAGGTAGATTTTCAATGTGCTTCCTTCTCAAATGGAACACAGGGTGCAACAGAAGATACCGGTTTCAAACTGTAATTGAGCTTATCTTCACAGGCTCTGATATAAATAAGCAGTTGGTAACTTTGGTAACTTAACATTAACTGGGCAATCTGTGACCTAACGTTATGCCTAAGTCCTTTTCCATAAACAGTTAAAGACCAAGGGATGCTAATTAACTCTAATAATGTATACACCACTCCCATAGCCGAAAATAAAAAAAAAAAGTCACATTCCAGATTATAGTGGAAAAGCAGATAATTGATTTTTTTTCAAAGAAACTAAGAATAGCTGAGAAGATGGTGCCTTCTTATTAAAGGAAAATCTGATACAGCAATTCTTAAAACTCTGCTTCCCTGAGATATTCTCTCATCCCAGTTATAATGACTTTTATCAAAAATGCCACAAAAATGCTGGTGAGGATGTGGAAAAAGAGGAACCCTCGCACACTGTTGGTGAGAATGTAAATTAGTATAGTCAATATGAAAAACAGTATGGAGGTTTCTTTAAAAGCTAGAAATAGAACTACCATATGATCCAGCAATCCGATTACTGGGCACATATCCAAAAGAGAGGAAATCACTATACTGAAGAGATACCTGCACTCTCAGCTTTATTGCAGCATTACTCACAATGGCTAAAATATGAAATCAACCTAAGAGTCCATCAATGGATGAATGGATAAAGAAAATGTGGTACATATGCACAGTCATAAAAAAGAATGAAATCCTGTCATTTCCAGCAACATGGTTGGAACTGGAGGTCATTATGTTAAGTGAAAAATCCATGCACAGAAAGACATACAGGTATTGATCGACTCACGACCTATGCAACTTACGACCATTCGACTTTACGACCACAATCGCTAACCACGACTGCTCCACGTCTGGCAGCGCAAACGTTGCCCAGCTGGGCGTACGACAGTGAGGACCCGCTTCCGGCAGCACTACCATCTCCGCGTGCACCATTTTAACTGTTATCCCAGACTTGGTACAGCAATTTGTGTTTTGTGTCCTGGATATTTTTCATCAAACCCCTCCCAATAAACTTCTTATACATTTTGAAGCAATGGACCCAAACATCGAACTATTTGCAAGGATTGAACAGATGGCGCACAATGTGTTTCGTCCGTATCGTGAAATTTATGAAGAAAAAAAGAAACATACAATTCAGACAAAGCTCAGCATGTTTATGAAAAAACCAACTCCGGTAACCCCAACTGCTGCCTCAGATGATGACATCAACGATCCGCAGCCAAGCACCAGCGGCCAATAAAATGTTTCCTACATGTTTATATATTTTGATATGTTTTGCAATTGGGAAAATGTTTCCTATGGTATTTTTTACACCTGTATTTTTGTATTTTTGTATGCACCTGTATTTTGCAATTTTGTATGTTTTGCAAATATTAAACCAGTTGTACTGGTAATGCAGTGTTTTACTTAAACCTGACGAATGTAAAAATAAGAAACAAAATGGTGTAGAGATGATACAAATGGCATAAAATGAACAAAGAAAATTATGATATATAACAATAATGAAAGAAAATTATGATAAAATATGACTTAAAGATTTTTATAACATCATTTCACAGTACTATACATATAGCCTACTCAACTTATGACCAAATCGTGTTATGACTGGTCTGTCGGAACCAATCATGGTCGTAAGTCAAGCACTAGCTGTATGTGACATGTTCTCAATTCATGTGGGAGTTAAAAAAATGGATCTTGATAAGATAGAGGTGGATTGGTGGTTACCAGAAGATGGAAAGTGGGATGAAGAGAGATTGATAAATGGTACAACATATGGTGAGAGAGAAAAAACAAGACCTAATGCTTGGTAGTTCAGTAGGGTGACTACAGTTAACAATAATCTATGTTATATTTCAAAATAATTAGAAGAGAAGAATCTGACTGTTCCCAAAATAAAGAAGAGATAAATGTTTGATGTGATGGATACCCCAATTACCTAGATTTGATCATTATACATTATATGAATATTTCAAAATATTACACATACTCTGAAAATATATACATATATTATGCATCAATAAAAAATGTCTGCATCCCAATGAGCTACTCCACATCCTCTCTGCCATACCCCAACTAACAAAAGCACACAAAATTCTCACCAAAGGAAAGAGGGTAGAGAGTTAGGAAGTAAAGCTGCTGGGGAATTACTTCGCCTATTGGGGAAGGTATACAAGACTGGAAGAAGCTTTCTAAGTTTGCAACTACCTAAGAGGGCAACTACAGAGGTCTTCATACCTGCTCAGCCTAAAGCCTCAAGCAGATTGAAATCTCAGAAAATCTGAGGCCAAACGAAACTTCAGAGTTATAAATAGAAGATGATCAGCATCCATGTAAAGTCCAGGTAACCTACTGTTGAGAATCAGTTTACAGACAGTAAAAGATAGACATCTAGCTGCACTGTTGGTTTAAAAGAGGAAAGGTTGAGTTTTCTTTTAAAGCATCATATATAATAATCCTGGTCATATTTTTTTTTTAAAGAAAGGGAAAAGTCTTATGTGTAAGTTGCATGTCCAGTAAGAGGAGCCTGAGCAGAGGCTGTTTAAGATATGCTCATCTAGCAGAATATCCCCAAGTAGTAAAATCAGACTTTTGATAATTAAATATCCACCTGGAAGGTGAATGCAAAAGCCAACATACTGACAATAAATGAACAGGGAGAGGAGGATGCCTGATCATAGAAAACAAGCCTTTTGTCTGCCTTAAGATGCTGGAGACAGGACTTGGGAACAAACTGGGAAGGTGTCCCACCCAGTTCTCACCTGTTCTACTCTACTAAGGTGATGTGAGGCTGAATCTCTGACTGTATACAATTGAGAAAAAGAACAATGCACACATTTAACAGGTGTGCTCTCTCATCACCCATCATCTTTCTGAGGTATGCAAGTAGCTATGCTGTTAACATTACAAGAGAAAACTTAAATATGTGCACACAATGTTTAGTAAAATCACTCACATTTTAATTGTAAAGATTTTGATATATTATCTTAATAGGTAAAATAAAGCCAGGTTTTCCATTCCAGTATGCCATGCCATGAGTGGGTGGCCTCGTACCTCAGCGTGCGCATGCCCTTCCAGGTTTGCTGCCTCTCGCTGCTCACGTTGCTCTTTCCAGTCCCGATCCTGCTCCTCGGGGGACGGGTCGTGTTCCTCCTCAAGGTGTTCTGCTTGCCCAACCTGCTCCATTTCTTCCTCCTCCAGGGCCTTTCTGTGCTCTTCTTCCACCTGATGCTCCTCATGCTCTCTGGGTTCCACTTCTTGTTGGATTGGCTCTGGAGCAGCCTGAAATTCTGCCTCCTTATGGGTGGGAGCATAGAGTTTTGTTTCTTCTGCTCTTCCAGGAATTGCTTCATAGTTCTGCCACACATCACTATTTCGAGACACCTAGGCCAAGCACATCACTGGGAATGACACTCTTCCATTTCAAAAGTAATGATGTAATTTCTTTAGTTCCATGTCTATGGAGCTACAACATAAGCAGGTGTCTAGAAATATCTACAGTCCTGGCTCTACAGCAGCAAGGGAATCAGTCAATTTTCTCACTGTATAATCTCACTTATAAAATAGAGAATATAAGCGAAACTTCATCTGTGAAGAAATAACCTGGAAAATAAAACCTACAAGTAACCAATATCTCAGAAGTAATGAAATTCCTATCTTCCCTTAGAATAAAAAGGAAAAAAACTTCAAACTTCAAGTGATGAAATGTTTACATAATTTTCTTCAATGTAAAATTTTGTTTTAAATAATTTGAAAAGAGAAGGATAAGATAAAATTGAGGAGTTCGTTTTTTTTTTTTTAATTAGTTTGGTTTACTAATTTAAAAAAGAATGCTATTACTAATGAACATCCATGTTAGTTCAACATAGTGCCTGTTAAGCAAGATCTAATAAAATATTTTTAATGTATTAAAGTAGTAATTCTTGGTAAAACAGCAGGAGTCTTTTGTAAACATTTTTTATTGCTAATATGGAAAACCCTGAGCAGAAAAAAAAGAAATGTCTTTTTCAGAATATTCCTTCTCTAAAATTAGTTGATTCAAATCAGTTCTTCTTATGTTTCAGAGATCTCTGTATGATCTGCATTACCTAGAATGTGAGGAAGAAAGAGGATATAGTAACAACAAAAAAAAAATCACCCTTTTTTTCTCTTTAAGCTTCAGTATCAGAAAAAATTTGTATCTTCTTTGGTCAGACTGCTCTTCCAAAATTGAAATAAATGTGAAACTCTATTCTTAAATTAGCCAGAGATATAATTATCAAATGTGAGAAATTGGGCTGTATTAATAAACTGGGGAGAAAATCCTTTCTCCGACATTTGAGGACAACTAGAGTTGCACATTATACCAGTATCCTCACATATCTGGCAAGCTTGACATAATACAGCCCCGGCTTTACAGAAAATATTTCTCTAAAGAGATCTAAGGACTTTCAAACACTTGTCATTTATCTTCCCAATATCCTAGTGAGGAAGGTTAGAGCGGATAAGTCTTATCTCCACCTCAAAGATGGAAAAACTGAAGCTGAGTCACTGGAAGACTAATCCAGTAAACTGGTAGTCTGTCAAGAGCAGAGAATAGAACCAACTGCCAGGCCAGTGATATGGTCATGCTTTCTTAAGTTAGTCCTTCACATAAGACCCTAAGAAAGAACAAGAGTCTATGAGCATACTGAACCTGTCTGTTAAAGGATACCCTGAAAAGAGTGAAGAGGCTCATAATGCAGTCTGCTCACATCAACTTAGTTACTCCCTTACAACGGTAACTTGGAGGAAAGTTTTCTCAGTCTTCTCTTTAATGTTAAAAACCACTTTGTGAGCAAAGGACAGGAACGACACTTTTCAAAAGAAGACACTGATATGATTTGGCTGTGTCCCCACCCAAATTTCATCTTGAATTCCCTTGCCAGAGACCTGTTGAATTTTAATTTCAAGAGTAGGGGACCAGAAGCCTACATTTTTAATATGGTCCCTAATTGAGCAACACACAATTACTGCCTTCAAAGATTATGTGTTTAGGAAGAGAAAGAAGAAGGGGTAGAATTGAGTTTTGTGTATTGCTCCATATGTATCTTACAACATTAAAAGCATCACTATGTGGATGTCATTTACTTTTTACCTCCAAAGTTGGTTTGCAAATGTTTAGATTTGCAATGTGGGAGGGACCCAGTTGGAGGTAATTGAATCATGGGGGCAAGTCTTTCCTGTGCTGTTCTCATGTTAGTGAATAAGTCTCAAGAGAGCTGATGGTTTTATAAAGAGGAGATCCCCTGCACAAGCTCTCTCTCTTTGCCTGCTACCATCCATGTAAGATGGGATTTGTTCCTCCTTGCCTTCTGCCATGATTATGAGGCTTCCCCAGCTACGTGGAACTGTAAGTCCAATCAAACTTCTTTCTTTTTTTTAAATTGCCCAGTCTCAGGTATGTCTTTATCAGCAGCATGAAAACAGGCTAACACAGACAACAATATGGCCAAAAATCGTATGAAAAAAAGCTCAGCATCATTGATCATTAGAGAAATGCAAATCAAAACCATAATGAGATATCATCTCACATCAGTCAGAATAGCTATTATTAAAAAGTCAAAAATAACAGGCGAGGTTGTGGAGAAAAGGAATGCTTACACACCATTGATGGGAGTGTAAATTAGTTCAACCATCATAGAAGACAGTGTGGAGACTGCTCAAAGACCTAAAAATATAAATACCATTTGACTCAGCAATTCCATTACTGAGTATATACCCAAAGGAATAGAAATCATTCTATTATAAAGACACATGCATGTGTATGTTCTTCAGTGCAACACTATTCACAATAGCAAAGACATGGAATCAACCTGAATGCCCACCAATTATAGACTTTGATAAAAAAAAATGCAATACATACACATCATGGAATACTATGCAGTCACAAAAAAAGAACAAGATCATGTCATTCACAGAAGCAGGGATGGAGCAGGGGGGCACTGTCTGTAGCAAACCAACATGGGAACAGAAAGTCAAAGACTACATGTTCTCATTTATAAGTGGGAGATAAATAATGAGACACATAGGCACATAGAGGGGAACACTCTAGGGCCTCTCAGAGGGTGGAGGGACAGGAACAGGAATATAACTAATGGGCCCTAGGCTAAATACCTGGGTGATAAAATAATCTTTACAACAAACTACCATGACACAAGTTTACCTATGTAACAAACCTGCTCATGTACCCCTGAACTTAAAAGTTGAAAACAACCACTTTGCCGGAAAGATAACCATATTTCCCATTTTTTTTTTTTTATTACAGATGATTGTAAAAAAAACCTTTGTAGAAATAAATAATAGTAATTACTTCTGATGTCTCACTTATGAGATATTCTTAGGGCTTAATTTTTATGAAGAACAAGAATAGAAAAAAATGTATTATATGACTAGCACTCATACCCCTGGGAGTGTCATACAGGTCATTTAATTCAAATTTTGACATGTTCTGTATAGACCTAGCACTGTTCCAAGTTCAAATATATTATTAACTTTAATATTTGAGCAGGTTGACTATCACATAATATCCTCATGATTATTTAACATTCTCACTCTAACCCCTTCAAAATCACCAACCTTGAAAAACTCATATACTACAGCTCCTTGAAGACAAATAAACCTGCATGAATAAAGACAAAGCCATTAAAGTCTTTCTCAGAAAATACTAGCAGCTGCCAGTCATGGTGGCTCATGCCTGTAATCCCAGCACTTTGGGAGGCTGAGGTGGGTAGATCACCTGAGGTCAGGAGTTTAAGACCAGTCTGGCCAACATGGTGAAATGCCATCTCTATGAAAAAATACAAAAATTAGCCGGGCGTGGTGGCGGGTGCCTGTAATCCCGGCTACTTGGCAGGTTGAGACAGGGAGAATTGCTCAAACCTGGAAGGCGGAAGTTGCAGTGAGTCAAGATCACACCACTGCACTCCAGCCTGGGTGACACAGCGAGACTTTGTCTCAGAAAAAAAAAAAAAAGAAAGAAAGAAAATACTAGCAGCAGTTCTCAAAGTGTACTACTTAGACCAGCTGAATCTGTTAGAAATGCAAATCTTTAGGCCTCACTCCAAATTAACTAAATCAGAAACTCTGGGCCTAAGGCCCAGTAACCTGTGATTTATCAAGCTCTACTGGCGATTCTGATCTACACTTAAATTTGAGAACCACCACTCTCCGAGAAATGCTGGCAATATTAAGAGCAGCTCCTCTCTTGGCAGCTCGACAGAGAAAGTGACCTAACCATAGATTCCAGTTCACGCCTCTTACCTCCTGCGCCTCTCGGGTTGGCTTTTCCCTTGCTGCGTTGTAACCTTGTGGAGAATGTGCCACCTGGGTCACATTTAGTTGCTCTGCTGGATCAGGTTTTCGAAGGCTTGGAATCCTATTCAGAGTATCTTTCAGTTGTTTATATTCTGCAACTTGAGTCTGCATATACATTGCGCAATCGGATACAAATTGCACAATTTGAGGAGGGAAAAAGATATCATTCATAGATGGGCATTTGGGTAAACTGTACAACTAGACAAAAATATTGTACCTAAATACGAGTCAGAAAAATATGCAGATTGTTTCCATGCATTAACTGTTCTTACTTGGGCATGCTTAATCATTTCTGAGCACATGCAAATTAGAAACAGAGCTGAAGGAAACAGAAAAAATACCTCAGACAGATGTTAGTTTCCCGTACTACACTTAAGTCAGGACTTTTGTAAATAATTTACTAATATAAATATCACTATTAAAAGACAGCTATGTGATGTTTTATCATATTAAAAATCCATTGAAAACTCACAAAGTTATAAAAATAAAAGTGCAGATACCTTTTACCAGTATGATCTGAGTAAAATCTTTCAGTAGAAAGGACTCAAAGGTTTAAAATAAATTTATACACACACACACACACACACACACACACACACACACACACACACACACATAAATTACTCAGGCTACCATTTTCCCGCTCAGTTAATTTGTGCTGAAATAGAATCCTTTATTTGTCAGAATGTTTCCTGTACTATGCTCTGTGGTTTCTGGAAAACAGTGGCATTTTTATCCTTGATTCCGAATGGTCTTTTCTTCTAAAGTGACGAAGGTACTAACACAGGTATAGGACTAGCATCTGCTCATACAGCTGCATCTGTGTGTATATGGGATGGGGTGTGTGGATGTCTGTGTAATATTTTTAACACAAGGAGCTAGAAAATCAGAAAAAAAACCAATTACTTTAATTAACAAAATCAAGAGACATTGTGTATACTTTGCTCATTGTATACACCAACGCTGTTATCCTGAAAACAGAAATGCTGTGTGTGTAAACACATATATAAACACATATAGAGAACACAGAAGTCTTTTTCTCAACAAGCTTCCCAGAGAGGGCCACCTCCTCAGTGTGCGGGGCACAGCAGGTAAGTGGGCCAGAACCCAGCAGCATTCCTGCTGCCATAGCTATGCACCATGGCACACTGCTCTTCCACCCCAAGAGAGAGGTGCTTTTTGTTTCCTTCTAATTTACACTAGGGTAAAGAAGTCTGCTTGCTAAATAATTCCCAGGGCACCGCCTTTTAATACTTTTGTACAAAGGTGCACCATATGAGTAGCAATAGCCTTTATCTGAGAAATCTAAACATTTGCAAACCAACTTTGGAGGTAAAAAATAAATGACATCCACATAGCGATGCTTTTAATATTTTAAGATACATATGGAGCAATGCACAAAGCTGAATTCTACCCCTTCTTCTTTCTCCTTCTAGATACATAATCTTTGAAGGTAGTAATTGTGTGTTGCACAATTAGAGACCATATTAAAAATGTAGGCTCCTGGTCCCCTACTCTTGAAAATATAATTGAACAGGTCTAGGGCAGGGCCCAGGTAGCTGTGATGCAGGAAGTCTCAAAAAACATCACTTAAGCATTGAGCGTAACTTTGAAGTGAGGAGAACCTGAGCTTCAACCTTGGTTCTGGTCATTGATTTTGGGCCAGCTACTTTACTTCCCTTTTCATCTCAGTTTATTTAGTTATAAAATGGTACAATGTTATATAACTGACAAGGTTGTGAGGATTAAATACTCAACTACATTTAAAAATCAGGTTGTCAAGACAGAATCTCTTAAGATGACTTACATGCGAAATGTAGGTGCCTGAAACAGCATTTGTTTTTTTAAAGAGATCTGGGGAAAGTCTTAATATGGTATTATGGACTGAATGTTTGTGACCTCTCAAAAATTCATATGTTAAAATCCTAACCTCCAATGGATCAGGAGGCAGAGCCTGTGGGAGGTAATTAGGTCATAAGGTTGAAGCCCTCCAGAATGGGATTAGTGCCTGTATATAAAGGGATCCAGGAGAGCTTTGTAGGTTTCCTTCTACCATGTGAGGATACAAGGAGACTTCAACAGTCTGCAGTCTGGACGAAGGGGGCCCTCACCAGAAACCGACAATGCTGGCACCCTGATTGAGGACTTCCAGCCCCCAGAACTGTGAGAAATACATTTCCATACTTTATAAGCCACCCAGTCTCGGGTGTTTTGTTATAGCAGCCCAAAGGGACTAATACATATGGCTTAAATTAAGGACTGCACCTAGTTCTGACATTTTTTTTAAAGGCAGGATGAACCTTGAGTATCCTCCCCAAAAAAGATATTTCAATAAATAAAAACCATACACATAGATTAACTAAAAAAAAATTTTTTTTTTCTATTACAAAACCCTGTCAAGTAATACTGTCAGGGTGCTACTCCAGAATTTGTTTATGGTCATCAAATAAATGATTTTATTTATGTATCTATGGATTTTCAAATTATTGCTTAGTCTAACGTTTATGGCCATTACAGCACACAGAGCACTCAAATAAGTTTGTCACATTTATAGTATGAAGAACAGCCTCATATAAAATAATACTTGACAAAATTTTATATAAAGAAGATGTGACATGAAATCATGTCTGAAGTCAATTTCATTTATACACTTCTAAAAAATCACCACACAGCTACAGCTTAGGAGGAGACACCTCATCAATGACTGTCTTGATAAGGAATTTCACAAACACAGATGCTACAGCTTCTGAGATAGGTCAGGAACAGAAAATTATAACTTTTAATAATTTTAAAAAGACAAGAAAACAAAATATGGGTGTCCTGATGAGCACAGATAGTTTACCTTTGCTCTTTTATCATAATTCCTTCAGTTAAAATTAAAGTTAAGACCTAGTTTAATGCAGCAACTAACCTAGCCATTCCTGTTTCCTTGCTTCTACTAGAAAGCTGTGTAACACTTAGCATGAAATCGCTTAATAAGCTCTCCAACACTTGTATTTGTTCCCCTGTTTATTCAGTAAATATATACTGAGAGCCTGCCTTGTGCCAGAGGCTGTTCTAGGTTTGAACAACTGGAGCTGATGACTCTTATTTTTCCTTCTCTGTTGACTTTTCTTCTTTGCTGTAATTTGACCAACAACACAAAAGCCTCCTTCCAAAAGGAGGGTGTGTAGGCTGCAATGCTGGGAGCAAGGAAGGCACAGAAGAAAAAGTCTGACAATAGTTTAGGCAGCTAGCCCCATAAAATCCTACAGATCCTATATCAAAAGTCAACACAGATAAGATAGTTGCAAAAGACCATATATTTGAGATCATTTCTGTGATTTAAACAAGTTATTAGACTACTGCAATTAGGGACTGGAGTGGAAAGAAATGATCATATGTACCATATAACCAGTGCAAAAATTAATCAAAAGTTTATTTAATATTTTATTGACTAAATTTTGAAAGCATGCATGGTCCTCAGGATTAGGATAGCTCTGTCCTTAGGAACTCACTGACGACTGGCTTGTAAAAGACTACATGCATAAAGGAATTCAGAAATGTTAAGCAGATTTATAAAAGAACCCATAGAGGCTGCTACCCTTCTAACCTGTGCAGCAGCTAGTGCACTCTTGTGGTCTTCCAAAGTCACTACAAGTTGTTCATGCTCGGAGAGTAAATTCTTATGTTGTTGCTACACAAAAAAGAATTTTACATGTTGAGCTTTAACATTCTACGACACATTCTTCTTTGGTTGATGGCGGAATGGCTCCCCAAACGTTACTTATTTGTTGTTGTAGCAGCATGTGTCAAGTTTAAAAATCACTGTAGAGAGTAGACTATGTTTTATGTAGTATTCCACAATCTAAACTGTGCTTCCCAAATATCATAATCATTTACAGTGAAATCAAAACAAAAAACCAAATCTCTCATTTTCAATAAATTTTATAAATAAAAGGCTTATTAAAATGTAACTATTTAGCAAAAGAATAATTTCAGTACTAATTTTCAGACCATCTTTTAGCTTACAATGCTGAAGTAGTAAAAGTATCAGGTACACTCTAGTTAATGCAAAACCCACAATAACAACGTGAATTTGTAAAGCAGGCCAATTAGGGAATGACTTTTAAAGTCATTCTAGCAAGGAAAGCAGGCAAACACTGAATAGTGAAACGTTTGGTTTTCTTTTACCTTGACATCTTGAAGCTGTGTATGTATGTCTTGGTGTGCTTTCCTTAGCTGTCTATTCTCTTCTCTCAAATTGTATACAGTTTCTATTTTAGAAAAAGAAGAATCACACATAAAGCCTTGAAACTTTCAAGATTTTGATTCTATTATTTTCCTATCTAAAGCCACCTATAATTTAATTTAGAATTTATTTTGAACTCTGACAATACAATATTCAAAATCAACAAAAACCATATTGTATTGGTATGTAACATGGTTTTAGCTGGACATTGCAATCCAGTCCAGTTCAGTACTTTAAATGATTTTAAACAACGTTTGCATTACAGACAAAAGATAAGGAATTTTCATTACCTAGGAATTAAAAATGAAAAGTTTATATTAATAAGTAAACCCTTAGGAATAACATGTAATGAGTAGGTGTAGTCCCAGATTTGATTCTCTTCACAAATTAAGAATAAAGCTTCAGCATTTCAGTCAAATTTTTAAAAATAATTTAAAATTTTTAAAATATCTAAGAATAAAATAATCAGAAAGTATAGACCCTTAACCCTTTACAGTACTGCCTCAAGACTATTTAACTCCTACATGTGTTTTGTTGTAACTTTTTTTTTGAAACACTTATAGAGAAACATTGCAAAAAATGTATGGAGTCGTCCTAAGGACCCATCACCTATCTTCCCATCACGATGACATCTTATATAAATATGGTACATTACCAAAGGGTCAGTACAAGGAACTAGACTACAAACTTTATTTGGATTTCACCACTGTTTTTGCCTGCACTGTCTCTTAAAACCAATTATCTCACTTTAAACTTATTTAGAACCTTTTTTTTTTTTTTGAGACAGAGTCTCTCTGTTGCCTAGGCTGGAGTACAGTGGTTAGTATGATCTTGGCTCACTGCAACCTCCATCTCTCAGGTTCAAGTGATCCTCCTGCCTCAGCCTCCCCAGTAGCTAAGATTATAAGCATGCGTCACCATGCCCGGCTAATTTTTGTATTTTTAGTAGAGACAGGGTTTCACCACCTTGGCCAGGCTGGTCTCGAACTCCTGATCTCAAGTGATACACCTGCCTTGGCCTCCCAAAGTGCTAGGATTACAGGTGCGAGCCACCGTGCCTGGCAGAAAGTGGGGAAGAAGACATGTGTGTCTTGTGATTAATCTGGAATTCACTTAAAGATCTGATTGTACAATGCACTGGTTTCTTTATCCAGGACTCACATGCACTCAGAAAAGTGATCTATTTTGTTCCTATTACTATGAAAATACCTGACACAGATGTTGATGGGTAGCAAATGTATGAGCAACTATTCTAGATGCTTTATGTAAATTATTTCTCACACCAATTCTACAAGGTTGATATCTCTATGATTATCCCAGTTTTACAGATGAGACAATGAAGACCACAGTTGTCACACAACTTGCCCATGGTCACATTGCTAGTGAAGAAGCCAAGATTCACCTGGGCAGTCTACCTCTAGAACTTGAGCTTGTTGCAGTTACTATTAGCAATCAACACCAAGCTTCTGCTCCCTTGGAGATTTTTAGAAATAGATGGAGCAATTTTTGATTGTGACAATAACTGAGAAGCATAACATTTAGTGGGTAAGGATCAGAGATGCTAAATGACTCACCACCCAGGTAAGAGAAAAATTGTCTAGCCCAACAGGGCCATGTGCCCCACTGAGATATAGCAAAATACACTAAGTATTCCATTCTGCTTCCCTAAGCAAACCCAAACAGATGAAAACAAATGTGAAATGTTACAAAGAAGCAAGTGGCTGGTGAAGGACCACATGATAAACTTAAACCAATCACTACTCAAAACAAAAGACTACATATCAATACTTATTTAGAGATAAACTGGCTAATTAGATTTCCAAATACCTTTTAGCTTAGAAAGTTCTTGTTCTTTTTCTTGCTGCAGCTGCAGGTATTTTTGCTTATGGTCATTAAATGTCCTACTGAAGTCTTCCCCTTGTTTGCGATGTTCCTCTTCCAAGTCACTGTGCTGTTTCTTTAGCTCCTCGTGTTGGCTCTGCAAAGATTAAAAACTTGAGTAGAAATATACATTCTCTGAATTATAGGACAGTCTATTTCTTGACAGCATAGAAGAACAAATGAAAGCAAGAAAGTATGAACAAATGAAGAAATAGGCTTTGTTTTTCTCAAGTTAGCTTTAATTTGTGCAGCTCCCCTCCACTTCCCCTGGATTTCAAATGAACAGCGGGGATCACAGCCAAAAATAATTTTCTCCTTAATTTTTAAGAAGTTAGCATGAGAAATGGAAAAGAGAAAAATGTGGGAAAATTCCCAGAGACACAAATTACTGTGGAGACAAGGTAAAGCTAATGGCAAAATTATCCCTCCCTGGGTATTATGGATTTCCTTTTTCGATCTGATGTTTTCCCAGCAATGCATTTAATTTTTCTTCCTTGGTATTTGAGCCTTTCTGCTAACTCAGTTCAAAAGCGAGAGAGTAAATGAGACTTTTCCCTTTGGGAATAGTAATCAACTGTTTAGAGAATTGACTCTTATTTACCTTATTTCTGATTTTAATCCTACAATGTAATCACGATCTAGATAAACACTACAGTCTCCAAGTGCTTAATGTGAAAGCATGGTTTGCTTTAATTCATTTACTGCACTCTTGATAATAGGAAAAGATTCCAGTTTCAATAAAAAGTGCATGCCCTACTGATATGAGAGGGAAAGACAACAGCAAACAGAAAACGGATGGGGGCGAGCGGGGGAGGGATGGTGGGGTGGAGATGCCGGCATGATCTGCATTTTGCCGAGAGGGCATAACTGCATGCTGCCAGTTTCTTCCAGCTTGACAGAAACAACGACCTCTTCCTGATTCACAATGAGTTTTACTCAAGGACCAAGGAAGAGAATCTTTAAATAATAAACTGTGTTCCTGTGGTAAGTAAAAGGACATTTATTAAATATTAGTAACAAGAAGGAAGCATTTTAATAGTTCTACAGCCTCCAGTCTGTATAAGATAAAAGAAAACATCTAAGGAAAATCACTGTGAGAAAGTAAACAAACATAAAACCCTAATGAACAGAGAGAATAAAATTGAAAATAAGGTAGCCAGAAAGCCTGATTTATAAGAAAGTGTGTAATAATTAAAAATGTTCTATGTAATCGAGTGATAAATATGAGGGGCCATTACAACTATATATAATTTTTAGCCAGATAGATAGACTAATATGCCACATTACAATAGAAATCAACTTCTGTAAACTTTCTTTAATCACTTTACAGGCCATTAGTCAGTTGGAGTATTAGTCCTTTCTTTTATTCATGAATAACAACTTTAAATTACTCACTTTCAACATCTGGTGTTGGACATTCAGTGCACTGTATCTGCTATTGGAATCTTGCTGTAAATTGAAAAAAGAAAAAAACCCCACAAAGATAAATATGGCTCTCTTGTTAAATACAGCCCAAAGCACTTTAACATATAATTTCACTTGTGTACAGTAAAATGAATTCTACACTTGAACCAAGATGTCTCTGGAGCCATCAATATAACACAGAAATGAAGTTTTGACATTCCCCTAAGTTTGCTAGATTTTGGAATAAAAAAGCAGGATATGAAATAATAAGATGGCAGCTTGACGGAGCCCTTAGAGATGATTTCCTTCCACTTTCATATTCAGAAGAACTGGAGCCCAGGCACACGAACATGTCCTGAGACATGAAGTTACCTCACAAGGCTCATACATGTGCTGGGTGCTCGAGGTGAGGGGGAAGAAGAGATAAACCAATGAGGACCGTGCCTCACAAGCTGAGCCCTTAAATAGGGAAGAGAAAAGGCACTTTCCTTCCCTGAACTTCAGCAGGTAAGAAATTCTACATAGATAGTTTTACCCCAGTGAGATTCTACTTCGCAGAGTGAGAAACCGAGAAAAGATGAGGAACCCGCCAAAAGCAAATATTAAGCAGCAGAGCCAGAACTGAAACTTGAGTCTAAGTCTCTGGCTGAACTGCATGTCCCGAGCTCCAAGTTCCAGGGGTACATCTTTGTGTCTCTGTGGGGCATCTTCCTGGGTAGCCATAAACAGTCAGCATGCAAAAGATACCTGATTGTTTTCCCTCCCTAAGCTATGTTGTTTATGTGTAGGTACCACATCCCTCACTTTACCCCACCAGCATTCATGCATTTTTTTCATATTTTTACAACTTTTAAAATGAACTGCATTTTTGATTCCTCACTTTACTGCTTTAATTTGTAAGGAAATTATACCAAGTACACACAGTTTGGGTTAGTGCTTTCAACAGCACGTAAAAGTTGAAAGCTGATGACCTCCTGGGATATCCAAAGAAGTGACTCTTCTCAGTTTATTTATTTTGAGATAGGGTCTTGGTATGTTGCCCAGGCTGGAGTACAGTGGTGATCTTGCTCTGTTGCCCAGACTGGAGTATAGTGGAGTGATCATAGCTCATTATGCTTTAAACTCCCAGGTTCAAGGAATCTTCTGCCTCAGCTCTCAAGTAGCTGGGAATAGAGGCATGTGCACCATCACGCCCAGCTAATATTTTGTATTTTCAAGACTTGCTACTTTGCATGGGCTGGTCTCAAACACCTGACCTCAAGCAATCCTCCTGGCTCAGCCTCCCAAAGTGTTGGGATTACAGATGTGAGCCAACTCGCTTGGCTTTCTCTTAGTTTTCCTACCCCAAAATATCAGAGTTTTTCAATTAACGCTTATATATTCTTCTTAGAGTAAGAAAAAGACTTGCTTTTCTCCAGTTAATTTGGACTTTAAAATATTTGTAAATGTCAATGCCATTCATTCCTTCACCCATTCCACAAATGTTCTTAAATGCAAACTGGAAGCCAGGTCCTCTGTTGGATGTTACACATGCGAAGGCAAACGAAAATAAATCTTACATTCTATAAAAAAGACAGACTGCAAACAAGTAAATGAAATAATTTTCTTTTTATAGTTGTACATTAAGGTTATTCCCAGTTAATCCCTATTATCAATAATGTGATAAGTAAAGGTAAGGTTTGAAACAACAATTTTTAAAGTCTTCCTCTTATAATTTCTTGGTGGCAAGAAAAAAAAAGTATTTCAGTCCTATAATCCCAGGGATCAACAAAGTAAAAGAGTTTGCAACTATATTTCTCTCTCTTTCAAGTTTTATGAAAACAAATTAAGGAAACCCCCTCTCCCAAAAAAAACAAAACAAAAACTTACCCTTCCTTTATTTAATGTTTCTTGTGCTTCTAACTTATAAACAAGAAAATCTAGAAAATACAAGATGAAAAAAAGTGATAATTCATTATATATATTCTAAATATCTAAAGAAATAAAGGCAAACTTTACTCAGGCTTGCAAAAGTGTTTTAGGTTTAAAACAATCTACTTGATGATTTTTATACTTCATTTTGCCTCTCATTGCTTTAGAAAGAATTAGAAAAAAACATACAATTTCCTCTTTACCTTACAGCTGTAAATCTTGCATCAACAAAATCCATATTATAGCCAATTGTTTATATCCCTGTGATTCACTCTCCTTGAAATTAAAGAGGGAAAAAATAAAGCACATCTGAAGACAAAGGTGATTTATCACCATCCACTAGATGGCACACTAAAATCATTCAGTTCCTGAAAAGAGAAATCAAACCAGCCAAGCCATCTTTAATGCTTTGAAAACTTTATTATCCACTAGATGGCTCTATAAAATCACTCTGCCTTTGAATCAGACAAGGAGAATCCAAATCCTAGCCAAGTATTTTAATGATGCTGAATTTTTATTCTTCACACAGGCTTAATCCAAGGGTCAGTAAAACATCCTAAGCAACTGCCCCTCTTCTGCTATCCTCTTCCTTCCCACCAAGGTCAGCAGACAGAATACCTAACTTAAATTTCAAGATTCGACACAAAACATGAATAAATAAATATTAGAATGCAGATAACTTCAAATTATGAGCTGCATAAGGCCTGTGTTTTATGGAAAAATTCTGATAAAAATTGAGAGCATTGTCTAGCGGCTGTCCTAAATGTTAACTTTCGAACTGAATCAACTGATGTGTCAATAAAAACTTTCACAAGATAAAAACAGGTGTATAACATAAAGTATGCCGGACAATGGGATCAATTCATTATGGTATAAATATATATGTGTGTGTATAAAATCTGTCATATTCTGGACAATGCATGCTGTTACTTCCCCACCCCTCAACCCCCATTCCCCCTCATCTGTAGACCGAAGTTCCAGGTGTAAGTAATATGCCTGTTTAATACTCAGATGAAAAATTATGTGTTATTCCTGAAATAATAAGTATGACCAGTATATAATAAGTATATATGAGCTATCACAACGTGGCACAAACTGAATATTTTAAATCCAATCTTGTACAGGAATTACTGCACAATGCATAACATATTACTTGACATATCTCTCTCGGTCCACCTATCTGACTTTGGGTTGATTTGAGAAATATCTTAGAAAAAAAAAACAAAAAAACAAAGAAAAAGTAAACCAAGTACATAATACTTCAAAGAAGAGTATGGGTAAAACACAACACAAATTATTTACTTACCTTCCTTTGCTTTTTTATGTTCAAGTCTTTCCTTTTGCAAGGATTTCTCTAATCTTGATCTGTGTTCATACACAACTGGAAAAAAAAAGAGTTAAAATTTCTATCTTTACAGAATTATAAATTTAAAAGTAAAATTAACTTCAATTTTCAAAATAGAAAGAAAACAGTATAGAGTCTTTATACAATTTAAATAAAAACATATGTGTTTTAAGTTTCCCTTTCCAGGTAAAGAACAGACATACTAATAGTCATAATTCTGGGCTGACTCCCATCCAGCCTGCCCTTTTCTAAAGCCAATGATGCTTCCACCTTTTTTTGCCAGCTCCCTTTCCTTCTACAACTCTTAAATGCAAGTATCTTTTTAAGATTTTTTTTTCCCTCTCTTCCTGGGCAATCTTGTTCAATCTCATGACTTTTAACCACCATCTGCACAGCAGTTACCCCCCACATCTATACTTCCACCTCTGGCTTCTCTCTCAGACAACAGAAAGGTGTTTTCTCCTAAATATTCCATAAGTACTGCAAAGTCAACATGATCTGCATCTGAATTTAGGCTACCTGGATCCATAAGGAGACCTCAGCAGCATACCACAGGGATGAAAGAGGAGGTTTATCTCCTCCCTCCTCCCACGTCAAGGAAAACAGACTAGAGAAGTACAGAAATAAGAGAAGGGAGAGACTCTCCAGATAATTTATAAAACAGTCCACAAAAAAGCCAGTCGGGTTCACCATCAGCCACAGCCAGAAGAACCCAGGAGCAAGCCAATGTTCAGTTCTGTTAAGACCTTTCTGCCCTTTATCCTCCCTCCCCACGCAGTCTGCTCTGAAGAATCCAGAGTAGCCTGGTGAGTAGGGGAGGAAGAGCAGGTGTGTTCTTGAGACGGCTAGGGAGAAGAGGCTTATCACAACTCTCCTTCCCAGTGCGGGCTCCACACCTACAGCAAGCAGGAGCTGGGAGGGAGGGAGAAGACTTACCTTTGAGAATGAATTATCCTGGACTAGACCAGACATAACAATTAATGAACCAAGACTGTGTTTATGAATACAAGTTTTGGACTATTTTTTGCTTCTGAGAGAAGTCAGTGAAGCAAACAAGTTTGTCTAAGATTTCATCCAGGAACAGAAAACACAGCTCCACAGAGTGGTTTGAATAGGCACCGAGGGGTGAGGAGAACAGAGTAAATAAAAATTCTGATGTGCCCTCTGAATCCTGTTTGTTCAGCATTATGGTCAAATGTGATCTCATTCCTGGCAAGTTAAGCCAAATGTGTTGTTACTCCATTTTTTGGCCAGTCACAAGCTCCCCATGAATACATACAATTTAAGCATCGATCACTGGTTGACTATATACAATTCACAGAACAGCCCCAACACTACTGGCTACGCCAAAGTCCAGGGGTCCCAGAAAACTTCCTTTCCCCATCCCTGTAACAACCCCTTGCTGTTGAAAGGATTCCCTGCCTCTCTTATTGCCCCTTCTCCATTGTTACGGTGGCCAATAACCAACTACCACTGTCCTCCTTCTAGGGTGGCCACCATCTCCTGAGTTCTACACCTTCTCCCCACACTGTGTCCCTTGTCATCCCATATAAAACTTCCACTCTCAGGACTCCGCCTGCTATCATCCTAGACCCTACTTCTATTCACACCTCTGCTAACATCTCCATCTCTAACTACTAGAATGCCTGTGACCACTCCAATTGGTACAGTGTGGTCCTCCAATGAAATACCTACCCTAATCTTATCTTTCCCCTCATCCATAGGCAGTCATTGCAATAATCCCTGCTCTATTCCCTGCCTTACCAGGGTTCCTTTCCACTCACTAGATGAGCTTCCCCCCTGCATTATTACTATAAAATAATTCAGTATAACTGTATTTATGGCATCTCTGCTATGTACCTGGACAGAAGTGTGAAACTGGACTAAAAGTAGTTGTGCTACAAAAAGTTTGGTTGCAAGTCTACTGGTAAGAAGTAATATCTTTTCAAACATATACGTGTATGAAATATAAGCCCCTTGGCCAATTATTAAAAACCTTTTAAAACCAAGAGGTTCTATGGATTGCTAGTAATAGCACCATCTTAAGTTCGGAATTAGAAAGGGAAAGCATAAGATTAGCCCTATAGAACATCAGGAAGCCAAGCCCTGAACTGTGCACTCACAGTCTTCGAGAATTTCATTCAGGCGGAGGAGACATATAGGGAAAGAGCGAAGTTACAATACTCTCATGACACAACAGAGGCAAGAATGGGATGCTTAGGAACACATAAGCTCCCCAGATGGAAGGAAAAATAGTCTCTTCACCGCCAATCCAGTAGCCAAAGTTCTCACAGTCTAGGTAGAAAGTCATAATGGCATAAATATGCCAGTTAAGAGGGAATCTGATTGCACTAAATGGATACATTATAGACTGAATTTCAGCAAGCATGCAAAACTTTCGAAGAAAGGAACAGGCAAAATATCCAAGATCCTACAGCAGCAAGTGTCCAGTATAGGGGGAAACAACTCTAACCTAGCAACACGTATAATAATAATAATGATAATAATTCCCAGCAGCATAGTCAAGAAGGGACATACAAGGCAGACTGTTCATCACCCACTCCAGTCACCTCAGGCTAAATGTTAAGCATTAGTGTAGAAGGATAAAGGGAAAAAGCTGAGTTTACAAATTACAATTTCATAGAATTATTGTTTACTTAATAAAATGCAGCAAGCAAGGTAAACTCACTTTTGCAAACTTAATGCTATGTGGTACTAGGGAATAGGTAATAATTATCTTTGGCTTAGGAAGGATAGAACTCATCAGCATAATTTCATCTTCAGTAAGAGAGTGGAGGCTCTGCCAGATGAAACCAAGGAGAGAGGGTGTGTGGGGCATATGGGTGAAGGGTGCTGGGTGCTGGATGGTATTTCAGTCTTTATTCTCTTCCCTGGGATTTAGCCAGGAAGATAATGCCCTGACAGCTGGCCCAAAGTACCCATTTATCAAACCGAATCATACAACTGTCTTTGACAGTTTTACACTAAATGGAAATTTATGCATTCAGCATATTAACAGCAGTGTGTCTCAAGAGCCAGGAGATCCTGGGACACAGAGTTTAAAACTTTCATAAATAACCTGAATAAATCCTACAAAATGTCCATATAAAGGCATGCATATCTGTGAACTATGATTAAAATTCAAAGGTCTTGGATAAGCTGAGAAATATTCATGAATACACAGCATGGCATCACTCAGAGCAAACTCTTAACCCAAGAAGAATGTATTTTTGCAAATACAGGAGAAAAAAAGACGTGGCAAACAGGAATAGAGGATATATATGTAGAAACTATGAGGTAATTGTGCTATTAATACCATCTTACTCAGAACTGGACAAGCCATTATAACAGCAGCTTCTGATCCTGATGTAATATAACTTAAGAGTTCACAAATGGTTTGAAGGTTGGACAATATTCACCGAGGAGGAGGAGAGTAAAAGAATGGAGCAGCAGTGACAGATGGGGAGGTGAAGAAGCGTTGTTCTTCATCAGGCTCAAGAAAAGAATAAAGAAAATCAAACTGAAAAAGAAGCCTTAAACTATAAGCTGAAGAAACCACATCAGGTGAAGGAAAGTCAGAGTGAAAACTGGCCCTTGGAACTGAAAAGTCTAGAAAGAAGATAAAGACAGGGAAAGAGGCAGGTACCAGTAACAAGGGCTGAAGGCACAGCCTTGATGCCTGGGTTAAAATCCCAGCTTCATTTCTTATGGAGTGAGCTGCTGAACTTCTGTGAACTTCATTTTCCTTGTATGGTATGTGGGGATAATAATAGATATATCTCTTTGGGTGAATGTCAGAGCTAAATGAGTTCATATATATCATCTGCTAAGAACACTGCCTGGCACAGAGTAAACACTATTAAAATGTTTAAAGAGCTTAAAAGTGCCATAGAAAAAAATCAGGTGATCTCTCCTGAACCCTTTCAACCCTACGATTAAAATCTAATAACAAAGTAAAGTAATTATACATCTATGTGTGTGTGTGTGTGTGCATATATATGTATACACACACACACACACTTACATACACACATATATCTGACTTTAAAAGGCAATGACATTGGTCTTTTTTTTTTTTTTTTTTGAGAAGGAGTCTCACGCTGGAGTGCGGTGGTGCCATCTCGGGTCACTGCAACCTCTGCCTCCCAAGTTCAAGCGATTCTCCTGCCTCAGCCTCCTGAGTAGCTGGGACTACAGGTGCCTGCCACCATGTCTGGCTAATTTTTTGTATCTTTAGTAGAGACAAGGTCTCACCGTGTTGGCTAGGGTGGTCTCGATCTCTTGACCTCGTGATCCACCTGCCTTGGCCTCCCAAAGTGCTGGGATTACAGGTGTGAGCCACCGTGCCCGGCCTCAGTTTTCTTTCCTTAAAAAAATTATTTAAATAAAATAAAAAGCAAATTATAATTCCATAGGTTATTTAAACCCGTAAGTTTTTAAAAATAAAAATTAAAAGGTAGAACAGACCAGATAGAATTTTTGTGCTTGTAACTCTTTTAGAAAACTTCGCTATTAAGCCCATACACACACAGACACACTACCTTTATTTCTTTTACCATGCATTCTCCAGGCTTTTGAGCTGTGATTTATCTAGCTGGGTTTACTGTTTCACTTGGAAGGAGGATTGCTAATCAATCCTTGTCACCTATCTCTATTTTTCTATTTATACTCTGAAGTCAAGGCCATCAGTCAAGACGAACTAATGCTGCTAAAATCTCTGCAACAAAAAGCTATATAATGAATATTCTCATAGCACCAAACAAATTTTTTAAAAAAAGTATAAAAATAATGGTTCAATCTCAGCAGTCAAGATCGTTAATGCAGAATAACAATGCAACAGGAATAGGATTTGAATCACAAGAACTCAGAAGAAAAAGATGAAAACTCTTAACACTCATCTCCTCTCCTGCTTACTTAAAAGGAGTTTAATATTTTCCATTCAGCCAGGAATGGAAAGAGGTTTTATTCCCCAAAAAAGCACTCAGGAGTTTAAAAACGTGCCAGCTTCCTACAGCAATTTTCCATTTTAACTCTGA